AGTCCGGGGAGTTGGGGCTTGGAAAGAGAAAGGGTAAGAGAAAGAGTCAAGGTCACAGAAATGGGCAAGGGCTACATGGTGTAGGGAAGGGGTCAGCAAGTCTCTTCTGTACAGGGCCAGCTCGTGGATATTTTAGGACCCACAGGCCAGGATCTCTGTTGCAGCTACTCAATTTTGCCATCACAAGAGAAAAGCAACGGACAAGATGTTACATGAAAGGGTATGAGCGTGTTCCAATAAAACTTTATTTGCAACCGTAGATGGCGGAGCAGATGCCACCCATGACTCTGATTTGTAAACCCTGAGCGCAAGGCACAAGGTCCTAGAGACGCAGTTTGGGCTTCATTTCGAGTGAGTAAGTAGCCACTGGAAGACTGAACAGGGGTCTGATCTGGCTTTAAAGAGTTTTCCAATAACATTATTTGCAGAAGAACTTACTCTTCTATTACTAACATAATGAATTCTAGTTTAAATTCTTTCTTGAAAACTGAGGACTCATGGGGTGGGGAGGCAGTCAGAAGGCTGAGTCGATGGTAGTTTTCTATACCATTTACTAGTTATGTAGCCTTAGGTTAATTGCTTAATCTCTTTGAGTCTCAGTTTCCTTTTTAATTCAACTGTAATAATAACAACACCTGTCTCTAAGGATTATTAAGTGGATTAAAAGAGAGCATGTATATAAAACATCTGTCACGGTGCCTGGCAGGGTAAGGCTCAGTGATGTAAATTCCTTTTCCTCTTTTTCCTTCCATTGAGCTTGTATATGTCCTGCTCTAGTCAAAACCGCAGTAAATATAAAATTTGATAATCATGTTCCAAAAATCAATTGCATAATTACAGGATAGGTGAGACATTTCTCATCATTGCATCACTAGGTGACCTGGCTACTGAAGTAGTATCCAATTCTGGTGGAAATTAGCAGCAGCACAAGTTAGGATTACAAAAAGGTTGAATCTATTAGTCAAACCACATTTGCTGTCCTGGAAATAATCCTGGGCGTGTTAATTTGAGAGGAATGTTCATGAGTGAAGATGATTCAAAGGAGAATGACAAGATGTGGAAGAATTTGGGAACTGCCTCTAGAAAATGTTTAGTGTAGGAAAAAGAAAACTTGAAAACTGTACAAGTAGTTGAGGCATTGTCAGGGCTGGGGCGGATGAAACTCCCGCCATATTGGTATAGAGCTCCCAGGGGCTGCGGAGATGAGATTTTTTTTCACAGAGCTCTCCAGCACAGAAGTAAGGCCTCAGTCAACACAAGCATTCTGGAAGAGATTGAGCAGTATTCCGTAGCTGAGAGATTGTATGAAGAATTTTTGCAATGAGGGTCCAGGTTCTGAGCATACTTTCTTAATTCTGTAAATCACAGCATTGCTTGGACAGACCCTTTTGGATACCAGGGCTTGTATCCTTTCCTGGAGGTCTCTGTAGGTAGGTTACAATGAGACATGTGAACCCATAGGTCAGCAATAGGTAGAGAGACTAGACCCTCTCTGGTGGTGCAAGGGGTTAAAGCACAGCACTGTGAAGCTGTCTGCAGCCACTGCAGCGTGAGTTAAATTCCAGGCCAGGCAGTGACCCACCTGGCGCGGCTGACCTCTCCTCACTTCCCGCTGCTCCCATCAGCAGTGTACTTTGTCCATCTGCCTGTTCTGCTCCCCACTCACTGCCCCTGCACCTCTGGCCTGTACCCTGGTTCTGTATGCATAAATAAATAAATCTTAAAAAAAAAAAGAGGCAGTGAAACGAACAGGGCTATTGTGAGACTAGTGGGAATGTCCTGGGGTGTGTCAGTGGTGCAAGACCAGAGTATGTGGTCTTTGCTTAAATTGTATCACCGTACATTTAATGTCACTAGAAAATGAACAGAGATGAAGAAAGAAAAAAGGACCTCTGAAAGCTTTTCCCTGAAGTGTCCCCAGACTCACAGTCACACCCTGTGTGCCTGCCATCCTAACAAGGCCACGCCACGCCACGTCTCACCTGGACTCTTCCTCAGCTTCTGCCTGCCCTGACCCCCTCTTTTTCTTCAGTGCATGGGACAGGAACAAAACAATACCAGGGAGTGCTGCTTGCAATGTCTGTCCTTTGTCCCTTAGACTTTAAGCCCCATTAGGGACTGCACCTGTCTGTTGCCTGCTGAATCACGACCTACTGGAGAAGCCCCGTCCTTGTTTACGGAGACAATGAGGACCAGATCTGCTCCTGAAGTGGGATGTGGCTGCATGAAATCACGGTCACTGGTGGGCCTGAAGTTCCCAGGAGTGACTTAGCTGCTGCTTCTAGAAAGCCTGCTACTCGTCCAGCGCGAAGCCTGGTGGTTTTAAGCGAGTTCCAATGTGACTCATGCTGTATGTGGTCTGAAAAGATCTGTTCTTCAGATTTCCAGAGCAAAAGAGTTCTGGTCTGTGAATGATGGGTGAGGAATTCCCAGTCCCTGCTGACAAGTGACCCTGAGAAAATGCAGTGGAGAGGGGGAAGGGTCAGGGGAGGGAGGGAGAGTGGGAGGGAGTCGCAGGAATGAGGAGGGACTGGTAAGAAGCTCACCTGGGGCTGTACTTCACCATCCTCTGGTATGTTCCAGATAGACTGTCATTTGGGTAAAAAGATAAAAGTCTTGCAGAGGAATGGAAGCATGCGAAGGACGGGTGGCGGGTGATGGTAGAGATGCCCAGTAATGGTGGCATCACCTGGGACCACGGCCACGAAAGGTGGTTATTTATTTAGTGCAGACTCCCAGGCTGGAGAATTGAAAACAGAAGGGAAATCACCTGGAGCTCATGGTTTGTTATCTGTGGCCCATGGCAGTGTAGGTCTTATGGGGCCTGAACCCTAAAATATTTGGGGGGATCTGACTTTTTAATAGGAGATTAAATACAGAATTTTAAAAGGAGTCTGCAAGAGACACAACATGGTGGATTTAAGGTTCTCTCGCTTCATGGTGCTCCCATCTCTGGGAATGCCAAAGTTCCTCAGTTAATAGCATTTGAAAAGCGCCACGGTGGAAATGAAAAAAAAAAAAAAAAAAAAAAAGTCCGTTTTGGAAACCACAGGGAGGGATGGGAGCTCCCAGGAAGCCCCAAGTCCAGCCGTGAGCATTGCTCAGAAGGCTGCTTCTGCACCCCTTTTGAGTTCCCCTTTGTTAAGAAAAATCGCTTTTCTGTTGAAATGGCTAAAAAAGAGTTTGCTTTGAGTGCTAATAAACAAATAACCCTGCGTGTAACATAAGCCGCTTCCAGGCTTTCTAGGTTCCTCTGAATGTTGTTGTCAGGGCGATAAGCTGTGTGTTTTTGGATTTAGAATAAAAATTCTTCTAAAATATTTTATAATCTGGTGATCCTGGGTGGGTGAGGGTGAGTGGAATTCGGAGGGCTTTGCGCTGCACCCCTTTTCTCTCGCATTTTCCTGTGTTTCAGAACCAACGGGGTTTATGAGGATGCCTCTTCCTTTAATTGCAGTGTGATCACGTCCTGCTGAGCCCAGGAGGCCAGCATCACGGAAGGACAGACTGCTTCCCGCTGAAATCTGCTCTAAAAACAGCCCTGTCACGGGAATAGGGCTTATTAAAAAGTCTTAATAAAAGGGGGAGACTGAGGCACAATAACATAAGCCCAAGGTCAGCTAGCAAGTTGATGTTGAAACAGAACACTCTGGCGCTAGCAAAGTCTGCCAGAGATCACAGATGGAAGAAAAGAGTATGATTCTAGGGTGGGAAAGAGGTGCGTGACCCAACGGGAAGCTTTGATGTTAACAAAGGCATTAGGCCAGATGAAGGTGACCAGGAATTAGTGAACACTGCAGAGACACAGAGACATCTCAGGAAGACCGAGTGAGTGCTGGCCAGGGGGAAAAAAAAAACAACAACTGAGAGCTTTTGCTAAAAAGGGGGACAACCTCTGGGCCTGAGGGAACAGGAGGTGTGGCAGAGCAGAAGCTGCCTCAGCCTGGGGGCGGGGAGGGATTTGCGCTGTACCCACCGATCACAGGCCCTCAATCAATGTTTGTTGAAGGAATTTGCAAAGGAGGCCAGTACTAATGTGGCCTCGATTTGATAACTACCATTTTCCTGGCTGCCGTGATCCTGTGTGGGACACAGGCCAGGACTCCAATAAGCAAAAACAGACAATGGGAGGAACGCAGGAGCCCGCGGGAGGGCAAGTCTGCCAGGAGCATAGACCAGGGCTAGTAAAAGCAGCCTGAGGTGGGAGAGCAAACTTGCCCCCCACAACACCCCCACCATCAGCTGGATTGGGGGGTGGGTGTCCGGCGGGAGTGATTTCAACTGTTTCATGAAAAATGACCTGAACGCTTCTCTGATCCTGGAAACTCCCCATCTAACCCTGGCCAAGGAAAACAGGATTAGGTCTTATTACTTCTGCAAGGGCTTTGCATCTCCACAGAATGAGTTAACCTGCAGGGCAGAGAGGTAATCTCATTCCATTGTCCCAGCAGATAAACCAGAAAGTCCTGAATCACTTAATGGGTTAATAGGACAGTTTTTTTTTTTTTGAGGGGGGGTGGGGGAGGCTGCGGGATTTTGACTTCCTTTGCCTTTTAGACAGACACCCCACTTCCTTGCATTCGCTCTGTCAAATGCAGAGAGCAGCTCACCTCCTCTGGCAATTTTCCTCCAGACCAGTTACAGGTTCCAGGTGTGATATTTCCCTGTAACTTTCACAAGGGACCAGCTCGTCCCAATCGCAATGGACAGTTGCCCCAGTGACCACTGAGACCTGCCATCCTCTGTGTCACCTCATGGGGTGGCACTCAAGACTTTCACCTTTGATGGGGGTGGGGGTGGGTGCGTCTGTTTGTCTCTCCCCGTAAGCATGTATGTTAGGTTCGTCCAAAGTGTCCATAAAAACCACCTGTTCTCTGCAGGAATTCCTTGACCATCCTTTTAAGAGAATGAGCAGAGATGAATAAGACCAGAGGGCCTGTTTTCTTTTTAATGCAATGTATATTTATTGTAAACAATAATATACAAAAAAAAAAGAGAGAGAAAAGGAAAAGGTAAGTTTCACAGAGAGAACAAAAGGTCTGGGGTCAGGGAATAAGCAAAACAAACAAAACACAAACACAAACCGAACCTTACTTAAAGACAAAATATGATTTAAATGCCAGGGTTCTTAAGTTACAGAAATATTTTTTTAAAAAAGATCTGCTTTTATACAGAAATCGAAAGATGCCATATTATGAGTGCTTTAAGATTTTATTCTACTGACTTCTAAAAACTGTTAATATATCTTTTTTTAAATAAAAAAAAGTTTGCTGTCTTTTTTAAAAAGCAATCCCCAAACTGTCCAGCCACAGCAGTAATGAAGAGTGAAGGTCTGTCAGTGGGCCGAGTCCCTCCCCCTTCTTCCCTCTCTCCAAGAGAACATGCAGGGGGCTTTGGCTTCCACATATGTCACAGCTCACACACCATGGAGGCAGCCCAAAGATCTGTGGCAGAAAACACTAAATGACTCAGTGATACACTACATTTGCAACCTCTCATTTGTACAAAAAGAGAAACAAGTTTCCAGTTTGTTTTCAACAACAACAAAAAAAAAAACAACAAAGAAAAAGAAGGACAGACATAGGCATTTATACAAATCTGGGACAAGGCATCCGAAGAAACTTGCTTTTAATAATAAAAAAAGATTAAAGAGATAAATAAAAAAAAACTGGTTACAGTTAAGAACATAATTTAACAACAGATGACCATACCCTTTGAGGAAGTCTCCAACAACCTATTTTAAAGAAGGTAAATTAAAAAAAAAAAAGAGGAAGATTTTTTTAATTAAAACCTCTCCTTACAAAATAAATAATTTTAGCACATGGGCTGTCTTGAAGGTTAACTGCTGGTGTACTGAGAGGCACGGGTGACTTAGAGCCAGCCCCAGCTTCTGCAGGCCTCGTGGCAGGCGACAGGGGCCGTGGGCTGGGGCTTTTGGCTACTGCGACATTTCCCCAACCGATTTTGTCTCCTTTGCTTGCTTTCTGCTTAAGGTTGCAGCAAGGGAGCAAACGCAAGAGAATATGGGCTCAAAAGAGAACGCAAGGTCTTGCCAGCGGCGGGCTTTAAGGCTCAAGGTGGTCTGCTCTTGTTTAAAAAAATATATATGATAAAGCTTACCAAATGCTTCTCTAGACTGTGTTTACTTCCTTTTTTTTTTTATTTTCTGCAAGATAAGGCCTCTTTTTCTTTCTAAGGCAGCTCCTCCTTGAATCAGAAAGCTTGAGGAATCGAGCAAAGCTAACCCCCCCCCAACCGATCTCCTAACACAAATCTGTGTTTTTTTCCCGTTAACAACACACACACTTTTTTTTTCTTTTGTAAGAGAAAGCAAATCTGTACAAAAATACTCTGGTTGCAAGGACAGCTAGCATACACTGTTCAACTAAGTAGTTCAGCTGTTGGAAAAATAAGAGCATTTAATTTTTTATCTAAAAATATGTATAAATCCCCTCAAAATGGTAATGAATCATACACAGTACATACTAAAAATATTTAAAATAGAGAATATTCCTCACAGAGGACTTTTTTCTTTAATTACTGCTAAAAAATAATTAAAGTCCAAACAGGCAGAGAGATTGAGCAATTTTCCATGGTCCTCCATGTGCCTCGCAGAAGGTTTCAGTCCAGTTTCTCGGGATTCGCTGGTCCTTCTCGCCAGGTGGCCTGGCCACCGCTTTGCAACAAGGTGGTGGTGTGGTGGGTGACGGCGAATGTCCGGTGGGGCAGGCCTCGCCTCCAGCGTCCGTGGCTTTCAAGAGTGCTCAAAACAATGTTCAAGGGAAACTCTGGTGGGCGATTTCTTGGGTTCTCTTAACGCTCTCCGCAGCCTCAGGCCCGTGGAAGGTCGCCTCAAGGTCGGGTGAGCTGTGTGTAGACCGGCTGTTCCCAGTGCTGGGGGCTGTGGGTCTGCGGGATGGAGGGCACCCCGGAGGTGTCGGCGATGGGGGTGTACATGGGCCGCTGCGCCGGGTTCATGTAGGTGAAGGTGGAGTAGAGGCCGGAGCCCTGGCCGGCAGCGTGGCTGTAGTAGGAGCTGGAGTTCTGGTGCTCGGTGTACTCGTACTGGGAGCGGGTGATGGGCGGGTAGGAGGGGCTGTAGTGGGGGAGGCTGAAGGGGCTGTAGGCGATCTGCTGCGGCGACTGCTGCTGCTGCTCGCTGTAGTGGCTGGGGCTCAGCTGCTCCGTCTTGATGTGCGTTCGCTGGGCCTGGGGCTCGCTGCCCAGCGTGG